AACACAGTTACAGTTGACACAGGTTGTCTTTCATGTACGTGGGTCATCAGGGTCGAAAGTTAAGGAAAGAGCGGAGTAGTAGTATTCTTTCAGAATATTCTTGAAAGTGGCAAGAGAAGATTTGTTGTGGTTTTGGGTTATTTCTGTCGGTAGTGCGTTCCATGTCCGTGTTGATCGTATTAAGTAAGATCTGCTGTACGTTGATGTTCTTTTCACGTACCCCAAGATCTGGTTTGCTTTTGTACTCTGCGATTCTACCTGCTTCTTCCACGATAGATCAGACGAGATCCATACTCCAAGGTCACGTTCTTGGAAACAGTGGTCGAGCTGCATATTTCCCATGGAGTATGAGGCCATAATGGGATTTCGTTTACGCGATATTGTCTGAACTTTACATTTAGACTGATTAAACATAAGATCAGAAGACGATGACCAGTTGTTTATATTAGTCAGATCTTCTTGTAGGAGACAGCTGTCTGCTTCACACAATATGCATTGGAACAATTTGGTATCGTCTGCGAAGGTTGCAATTGTAGACAAGGATATCGCATCGGGTAGATCATTCACGTAAAGCAGAAACAGGATTGGACCCAAGATAGATCCTTGTGGTACTCCGGATGTCACAGGCGTCGACGTAGATCCTAACGCTGTTACTTTTTGTCGATGATGGCGAAGATAGGACTGGAACCAAGAAAGCAAGCCACCATTGAATCCAAAACTACGGAGTTTATCGATCATCTTCTTGTGATTCACTTTATCGAATGCCTTGGACATACCAAGATAAACGACATCTATCTGCTCTCCTTGATCAAGAAGTTTACCAATTGTATCTATAACTTGGATGAGTTGAGTAGTGCAGGATTTCCCGGGAGTAAAACCATGCTGACAGCGATTTATTATGTTCTGTAGATAGAATCTAAGGTGGTAGTTCTAAGTTTTTAAAATTTTCCATGCAAATAGTCAGTGGGAGAATGAGAAAGTTGGCATCTGACAGTTTCTTTTTTCTTTAATAAATGCAAGATTTCGCTGTTTAGCCAGGGAATGTTTCTGCTGCTTTTAACTTTCTTAGTTGAGATGTATTTCTTAACGGTAGTTAGAAACGTGTGTTTCCATGAATACCAATCTTTGTTTATGTCGTCGTTGTCCGATATCAAGTTACTCAAATTTAAAGACTCCAGAGTTGCACGAAGACCGTTAATATCTGCATGTTGATAATCGTAGACCATTCTGGTTGTTTTTGGTGGCCGGAAAGGACAAATTAATACCACAAACGAAATGGCATTATGATCAGTGACTACTCCAGTCATCTCTGGTGAAAGGACTTTGCATATTTTAACTTGGTCGGGTATGCTTGTGATTAATAGATCAAGAATGTCATTTCCTCTTGTGGTATGCGTATTTATTTGAGAAAGAAAAAAGTCTTTAAGAATCTCGGAAAATTCACTTGTGGTTGCTTTAGTTGCCTCGTCACCAGAGTTCTGCCAATTAATGTCAGGTAAATTGAAATCAACCGCAATGATGACGTCATCATACTGATCACGAATCATGCTTAGAAAATATTTAAAATAGTTCAGCCAGTTATCATTTGAATTTGGAGGTCTGTAACACGAACATATTAATAAATGCGAGTTCGATTGCGTAGTAACGTCCACTGTAACAATTTCAATGTTGCAATTTATTTCAATCTCACGCACGTGTTTAAACGATTCACTTTTAATGGCCATTAACACTCCACCACCTCTGCTTTCTCTGTCTTTACGAAATATTTCATAATCTGGACCAAGAATCTCGCAGTTTAATATATCCTTGTTTAACCACGTTTCATTAACACATACGATCTCACTGCTCTCCGAGTAAACTAAATCTTGAAAATTATGAATGTTATTTGTTACTTTCATACCTTGCTTGTGCTGGCTTTTCAAACTTCGAGTGTTAAGAAGAAGACATTTCAGTGGTGTTTTTTAAAACTCTTTTCTTGCGATTGATTAACCGTCTTGAAGGTTGGTCCAGGATTAGTTGCAATATCACCAGCAAGCAAAAGAATAGCCGCATGTGAAATCTTGCGGTTTGTTTGTAAGTTCAAACCGTAGCGATGCCGACTATTGCCAGGCAAATTGTACTTTCTAAGAACAACATCACGAGTAGATACCCAGACATAGCATAGTCTTTCAGGTAGGGTAATAAGTTCTGAGCTGATAAAAATGTTTCCTGATGTGATTTGACCAGTATAAAGTGCTCTTTTCGTTTTCAATGACAGCCGCAAAATGGAAAAAAGAAGCAGAATGTGAATTATGTCTCGTCCAATCTTCGCCAAATATTTCTTGCCATCTGAAACATTCTTTGAAACCATGTTTGGGTTTAAATTTAAATTAATTAAATTCACGCGCACACAATTAATTCAACACATAATAATTTGAATTAGATTTGCTGACGTTAGATGACCGTTGGTGACGATGTGTGGCGTAAGCAAACATAAGAAAGTTCAGCTTGCGTAAAATGTTTCACAAATTAAATTTACCAGTCAAGCGAAGCAGAGAAACTCTTCTAAAAGTCCTTGGATTGAATTTTAACTTCCAAAAATACACGGATCTAGTCCACGATATCCTTAGACAACTGTCCTAAAAGTTTGGCTCCACATCTATGTATTCAAATTACTATAAATAACAATTTTTTACAGAGCTCCCTCGCGCGCTTATGTGCGCAAGAGTATCACGAATCACGTTTTCACTTCTGGTTCATATTCAGATGCCGTCAAATAGAACAAGGATATGTCACAATATCAAAAACAAGATGAAACAGTTGCTCTAAAAATCGCAATCGAACAGTCAATGCCAAAGGTTCGGTGTAGCTTGTTAATTTTGAAAAATATTTTTAAATTTGTTTTTGCAATTTCAATTGCTTCCAGTACAACATTCTGAACATTTTAGAGAGAGAGATAAAGCAGTGATGACAGCCTTAAATTGAAAATATCACACCTAGATGCATCTAAGCAGATTGTGCAAAATATATAACCAAACCCAAAATCACCTGCAAGGGTAGGCAGTTACTGGTTCTATTTTATATGTGCTTTTCATGTGCTTAAACATAAATACTTATCTGTTAAAAATTATTTCCACGATAATTCAATTTCGATATGGATATGAAATTACGAACTGATTTGTTATAGTTTTAAAACTATATTGTACAAACAATTATTCAGGATCATTTGCTTTTCACAACTTGAATGGACAGTTGGACAGTGTTGATTTTAATATCTTGAATCCATTCTCTATACGCAGTGGATATAAATAGGCATTCACAGGCATCATATTCACCAAGATTATGTATACCAAGGCAAAGCCCAGAGATAAAGATTCAGTCGAGGAATGTACAAATCTGTGATGGTATATTTATCATGCATGTGCTATAACTTATATCATGCATGTGATATATACTTTAACACAACATATCCACACGAAAACAATTTGGGTTGTGGGAGAATATCGGTTTGAGTAAAGGTATCACAAGTTTAGTTTTGTAGATTGTGTGCCATTGATCTGATCCATCCATATATGATTATTGTAGCTGTTAAGTTTTTTTCATACTAATGCAAGTGGGTTGTTCTGACAAAATTATCTAGCCAATATCCAGCTTTTTATTCATCATTCTGCTATTAATCTCTAAACAAAAACATTTATGTTAGAAAGCAAAATGACAATGTGATGAGGAGAGAGGGTAGGGATTCTTTTACCGTATTAGCATTTGAAAATGCTTGTAAAAATTTTGTTTAATTTTTTAACTCTATTACTGGTAAATGTGTAAAACCAAAATGTATAAGTATTTTAACTGATAACATCTTAGGTTATTAAAACATACATAAATGATACATTAGAGAACAGCTTAGTTGGACTGTTGTTTTGAACAGAGTTACAGAAATACAGGACCAGGATTTAATTCATGCAATATCTGAGAACATTAGTTTCCTGTGATATTGTTCATTGGCAATATTGTCTTGCTGCTGAGGACAAATTTCTTGACACAACATGCTATGTTTTGACACAATGAATGTTTTTAGTAATACTGTATAGCGGTAGATAATAAAATATGTGGTATTTGACAACTTACCAGATGAGGATATCAAATTCCCATGTTGATAAATAACTTCATGATAATATCCCAAGTAGAATGGCGAAAACAAGACAACCAAATGAAGATGTTTTGGAAGCCAAAATGTGAAAATGGCAAAGAATATTCACTAATCACGAGGCCAAACGATGCCTGTTTGCAGTTTAGATGCAGGCACAATGTAAACAATCAATGTAAACTAATCGTTGATTGGCTTAAATTATCATGAATTGGCTCAATTATATAAGCTCATTGCTGAATGGCTATGTGTTTGTATAAAACATTTTAATTTATATTAATTTATGTTGATTGGGCATTATATGCCAGCCAATCAGGAGACGGTTGCCATAGAAACAGAAACATATGATTTTAGAACGAACGTACTGCGAACGTTTTTAGTGAGTTTTAATGTTGTTTTTGTTGTTTTGTAGTCGATTTTTCGACAAATAATCTAATAAATTGAAAGATTTATTATATGGCGCCCAACGTGGGGCACTGAACCCTTTTTTATGTGTACGAAACAAAGAGTAAACAATGTCCGAAGATGAAAATATTCAGCGATTACGAGCGATTTGAGGAGCACATTGTGGTGTTGCAACGAAATTATTGAACGAAACCGACAAACTTTTAGCATCTACGAGTTCAACAACACTGGAGGATGAGTTGAAAACGAAGTTAAATATATTGAAACAACAAATCAAATGTAAACTGGCAAAACTTAACGAGGTTGACAAGAAAATATTGGATTTATGCGACGTGAAAAATATTGGAGAGGAAGTATTGGAATCTGAAGAATATACGGCAAGGGTTACATCGTGTATTGTATGACAAGAAGCAGTGGTAAATAAGTCTGAAATACAAGTGGTTAATACGGCACCGGCTGTTGAAACTTTGCATATCTCACCGACTCAAATCCGAGCAAAATTGCCTAAAATAACACTGCAAATGGTTAGAGGAAACGTTACGAATTGGAATCCCTTTTGGGAATTGTTTAAAGCGGCTGTTCAGAAGAACAACAGTATTTCGAAAGTCGACAAATTATGACGCTGCCATTGCTATTCTTGAGGAAAGATTTGGTCGACCACAACAAATTATTGCCGCTCATATGGATGACCTTCTTAAGGTCCAACCTTGTTCAAACGAATGGTCATCATCTATTCGATTTGTTTATGATAAAATTCGAGTTCATGTACGCGGGTTAGAGGCACTGGGGGTTATCCCAGAACAATATGGCAGTTTACTAATACCGATATTAATGTCAAAGCTCCCAAATAGTTTACAATTGGAAGTTGCATGAAAGTCCACGAATGAAGTTTGGAAAATCAACGAACTTTTGGAAACAATTCAAAAGGAAATTGAAGGGAGAGAAGCAAGCGACCAAGTGAAATTAAACGATTGAAGATCACACCCCTCCTTGGAATGGAGCAAAAGTCAACACCCCACATCTCAAGAGTTGTTTTTGAAGCAAAATCAAGGGGACTCGACGAGAATTCGGTGTGCGTATTGTAACAAACACCATTATTCAGAGTCTTGTGAAGTAACCCGTTTGCAAGATCGAAAGGATATTTTACGGAAAGACAAGTGTTGTTTTATTTGTTTACGTATTGGTCACATGTCGCAAGAGTGCCAAAATTCAAGGGGATATCGAAAGTGTGGTCAACGACATCATCAATCAATTTGTTCTCGAAGTAATCACAAAAACAGCAGATTCAACAAAAGAAAACCCGGATCCCAACAGCCAAACAAAGCCTGGTGATTCAGCTGAAACCACAACAGCTACAAGTGCAACGAGCACATCACGGAAGGGAAAAGCGGTCCTACTTCAAACTGCTCAATGCAATTGCTACAAATGCTGACAGTATGAGATCAACCACCATTTGTGTTTTATTTGACACTGGAAGTCAAAGAACATATATTACGAACAGTTTGAAATCGCATCTGGGTTTGAAACCTGTGGAAAAGGAAAGCCTTCGTTTAAACAAGTTTGGTGATGACTGCGTTCGAAAGGAAACCTGTGATATAGTCGAATTAAGCCTGCAAAAGGGGGACAGTGAAAGGGTTGATGTAGCCGGGGGGAATTAGTACCCTCGCACAGCGCTTCGCACAGTCAGCTCAAGGATTAAATAATAACATTTAACAATAAACAGCATTTCATACTGCATATAATAATCTAGGACCTGTATACGAGTTTGTATGCATTTCATTTAGGACAGATAATCTCAACTGTTTTAGGGCAAGTTGACCATGATGGTCAACATGGTAATGCTGCCCGGACCCCAATCCGGGGCGAAACATCCAAAACTGACCACACCCAGGTGCTTATATGGTTCAGAGATGGTACTTTTGGGGGTGGTCATTGGTAAGTGTGAAATGCCTAGCACTCGTATTTCACAAGAAAATGACCATGCAATAATCATAATCATGTGGCTTGCAACTTCAGATAAACAGCAGTGGACTTACATTACCTTTTTCCCCAAATCTTTTGATAGAAACATAATTGGTACTTATTTAAATACATTATCACTGGTTTGGTGTAAAATAGTTAATATTTTCTGACCGAAATTTGAAATGTGCCTACCTCCTGCAAATGGACGTATTTGGCCAAGTTCTTCACTTTACTCTGCTGTTTATCAGCGATCTCGTTGACATCCTTCCAAAACTGTATATCATCTCACACATAAAGTTTTCAAGAACATTTTAAACTTTCAACTTGGTTTCAAGTACATCATAGCTGTTTAACCATCTACAAGGTAAATCCACAACTTTGTCCAAATTCGGCGCCATTTTGTCATCCTGTGTAGGTTGTCAACAATTCGGCCTCATTCTTCCATTCACGCCATATCCATTGCACAACTAACAAATTTAACCCTTTGTCAAGGGTATTAAAATAAAAATACAAATGAAATATGCGAAATGCAGCATTTTATCACCCTGTAAACAAGTCCTTTAAAACATTTCGTACAAATCTCGCGTGGTTTAGTAACAGGGACGTGACAGGGGGGTGGAGACTTGAAAAATGAAAGCAAAGCCCACACAGTATGGTAAAATCACAGTTAATAGAAATAGGATGGTTTGGATATTGGGCGGAGCTACGTGATATGTTATTGTTCTCGCTTTTGAAGGGTCACATGACGAATAGTGCTCATCGAATTACAATTGCATATGTGTGGTCTAGAATATTCACGTTGAAAGTTACTCTTTATAGAGCGCTGTTAAATTTACTTTCCATTTTTTTTATCTTGCAATGTAAGTTCTAAACCATGCCTGGTTGAAACTGTGCATTTTTTGGATGTCCGACAAGCCAAAAGCATAAACTTTCGCTTTTCTAAATATCTGTTGTGAGCGTAAAGCAAAGTGAATACACTGCCTCTATCAAGAAGAAAAGCGGAGAATGGCTCAAAATCATCTTGAGAACAAGGGAGATGACTCCAGAACTGAAAACGAGGATCGATAACAACAACATTTATGTTTGTGAACGCCATTTTAAAGATGAGTGCATTCAATCAGGTAGGATTTTAATTTGCATAACCAGTGATTATACACGCCATGTTTATTTAGTTTATTATATGCCATATGGTTCGAGAACAAAGAGATCATTATATTACTTATGAATATGCAATGTCTCATATAGTTTGTCAATATTGTTTTTTTTATAAAAAAAATCACGTTTTCAAGATAACTCAACCTTCTACATTATTTTTTAACAAAGCATATAAATAAATAGACTTATTGTTTGAACATCAAAAGCATTTATACTGTAATTCGACTTTAGTTTATAATATATGTTTTTTACTTCAATAATTTTATGTATAAACTGCCAATGTTTGAACTCATAAAATATGACTAATGGGACGTTAAGTCTGTGAATAAATGATCTTCAGTATTGCCTACTTTGGATATTATTGTTGAAATGTGTGTGTTTGATACTACATTGTAGACACAGATAAGCCCAATTCAAACTGGCAGCATTCCCACGGGAACTTGCCCTTGAGACCACATGAGTCAAAAAAGACACCACGTCGGATACTTGTGAGAAAGGAAGTCGAGCATGCAGAGGATATGCCATCTACTTGATATGTTTGAGCCAGCATTGTGTTTGAGCACAAGTTTGACTGATCTTGCAACTCAGCTTGATACTACTGTGTTGTTGCCATGGCTAACAGAAATTGCTCAGGATGAGAATATTAAATTTTTCCTTAGTGACCAGGTTCATGCAGTTCCTACCTATACTGTTATTGTGGACTCAAGTTTGGAGTTTACTACTTATGTATATAATTGGCCAATACCCGGTGACCACAAGATCTGCAATGATCATAAACACTCCATTAAGAGTGTTGAAGATGTTCGGGAACTTTTGTCAACAATAAAGACAAGTAAGATTTGCGAAGGTGTGTGTGAAGGCTGTGAATCCAGGTCTGCTGACATCACAGATCACAGCATTTGGTCCTCGAACAGTTGTTTGCCATTCGGTCCCCAAAATGCCAACCCCAAAGCAATTTGAGGCAACTGTTTTCTTCAGGTGTATAGAATGCCAAGTTATCATGGAGACATCTGATGAACTTTGCAATCCCTGTTCTAAAGCAAGCAAACAGTTGAAGAAGAGAACTGAAAAGAGAACCAAAGTCATACCAATTAATGCCAATTTTTTGGAAAGTGGTTTCCACCTTGGAACTGTCTTTGGATCTTTGTGTGGTTGGTCTTGTCAACGATGGTGCCTCGCCTAACAGAAAGTTATTCAACCTCCATGTTAAGTTGGCTGTTGATCAGAAGTGTGATGTTGTATATAAGACAATAAATCTTTTTGCACCATCACGCTTCATCTTTTTCTTTGCAGATATACCACATTTAATGAAGACAGCACAGAACTGTCTATACAACTCTGGCTCAGGTTCATGCAGTCGTTTGATGTGGAATTATGGCCAATATCCATTGTTTAGACACATAGCAGATATTTTTTATTGGGATCAAGCAGTTGCCCTGCATGTGCTTCCGAAATTAACCTTGGAACACATTGTTTTAACATCTTTTAGCAAGATGAAAGTGAAACTGGCTACTCAAGTACTCAGTCGGTCAGTTGCTCTAGCGTTGGAGGAAAGTGGAAACAGCAAGGTTTTGGGAACTGCTGAATTCTATAGCATGATGAACGACTTTTTCGATTGCACCAATGTGAGATCACTTCGGGAGCATGAGAGAAAGAGGAACGACCTTATCAAAACTTACACAGCTATTGATGATGATCGGTTTGATTGGTTACATGATGTTTTCCTAAAGTACCTGGAGAATTGGAAGAGGTCCACTGTTGAAAGAGCTGGTCAATATTCGGCAGATGATAGAGGAAAAATGTTTCTTTCCTCTCAAACCCATGAAGGTCTTCAGATCGCTGTACACTTCCATGTTGAGGCTATCCAGTTCCTGCTTCAGCAAGGGTTTCAGTACGTTCTGAGTGAACGATTCATGCAGGATGTGCTGGAGGATTACTTCGGCCATCAGCGTGCTAAAGGAGGAAGAGCTGATAACCCAAGTGCGTATGAATTTGGGTACAATGACTTGACAATTGCAGCACAACGAGACATTGCCCCTGTCGTAAGAGGAAATGTGGGTGGCCCGATACGAGAAAAAGAAATGGTACACTGTAAGTTATGAGCCAGTGGAAAAGAGGAAAAAAAGAAATGAGTCTATGATGGCAGTATCACTGTAGGTAGTATGTCAAAATGATTTTAATGACAGTACAGTAATAGATTCATGGCTGTTCTAATTTGCATGTACATTATGTTAACACATAAACTCATTAAGGTGCAAGGCTCTTTACTCATGAACAAAATAACATATAGGATGAAACATTGCACCTTAATAGGTAAATGTCCAAATCGATATCTATGTTTGCGCACATGCAGAAATCATGTCTGTATTTGTATGCAGTTTTTAAATAAATATTGTAATTGTACACTATTTTATACTTGATGAATCTACTGGCATACCTTTTTACTTGTCAATGGCCTGAATGGGGAAGAAAATACATGTACATGCAGTATTGTACATCAGTAGGTTAACTCAGAGCAACTGACTTCCCTCTTGCCAAGTATTAATTCTGTTGCTAGAAGGAACACCAACGCATATTGTGGTTTGTAAGGCTAGGCAGGACTGGACTAGTTTTGTAATCATATATACCTTGCAAGATATATCACCAACTGTATATTGTATACATTAGACTGAAACCTGTGCATATTTATTGTATGGACAAATTCCATCTAAATCTCACGATGATTGACTTTTGACAATAAGACAACTTAAGTTTTTGCAAGAATAGATTCTTTCGATATTCGACTCTTACAAATGATTAATTAGGCTGGCAGCCTCATTCCCATGAATGGTGTGTCAAATTCATAGGTAGACGTGATGTAATTATTGTAAGAGTTTTTATTTTATTTTGGGGACATTGTACTGTATATACACTTAATTTAAAAGGGCTAGTTGATTATTATAAATGAATAACATGTTACTGACAACTGAATGCATTGTACTGTATAATTGTTGCAAAACTTTCTATCAAGCCGCATTGTGCCTGATAATTTATCCCATTGAGCCGCAATGCGCCCCAGTGCACCCTACTTAATTTTTTAACTTGTCTAACACCAGACAATTTTACTTTACGTGGCTCAATCGCAATGCGTCCCAGTGCACTCTACTTATTTTTTACTTGTCTAATGCCAGACGATTTTACTCGTCAATGGGAAGCTCTGCAGCTTAATGGGTTAATCTTCTTGCTGGAGAGAGAAGCTTGTTGGTTTTGTTTGGGGTACAGTATGAACACCTTGGCTTGGTGAAAACCCAGAAACTGCTTAACAAATATCATCTGCAGTTTGCATGAGATTGAAAGGCTGAAAACTCAGTATGTTAAAACATATATTTCCCAAAATACCTGTATATATAACTTATATATACCCCCCCC